TATATATATATATTAAGATTGGATTGCGAGTCATGCAATTTTATGGATCACTTTAAATAGGCTTTTAGAGTAATCAAGAGTTTAAGATTAGATTATCTATTTTCTTTAAAAATAACAATAATCAAATTTGCATAAGTTTCCAAAAAATAATCTAGTTGAAGGACAAATATTGAAACTTGCTTTCTGAATATAGCTTAAAGCTAACGCATTTGTATAACAAATTTGCCGTCATATTTTTAATTTAGAATGAAATACGGGGATAGTGAGAATTACTTTTCCAGTTTTGAGTAGTGATGGCGTATCATAAAAATAAGTTCTCTTTCAAGTTAAGTTTCTTAGCAATTTTTTATGCTGTTTTCATGTTTTTCATCTTTAAAATACAGGAATTACAAGCAGCTGATCAGTTATTTTCTATAGCAGTTATTCAAAGCGAGCGTCAAAGTTACAAGAGAAATAATAATTTTCATTCATCCGGAATAACACATTTAAAATTAATGGTCTTAGAATAAGATTAAAATTGCCTTACGATCTCATAAGATTCAAAGGTATAATAGTTTTCCATCGCATGAGTTCGCATATTGCAGCTTCGGTGTATGGCATTTGGAGATGATCTTTATAGGTGGGGAAGCGATCTCGTCCTATAACATCGTCGATCTCCATTTGTATTTTTTTCTGAACCTCTGGGAAACCCGCCATGACCAGGCACATCCAGTCTACAGATACTCGAATCGTTGTACTGCCAGCTCCAAAGAAACCACGAGCTAAATCCAGCAAAACTTCCCCTAGAAATTATTTAAAGCTATGAACAATCTTTTTTGTTGTAAAAATATATCAAATTGGAATTATTTTCAGATTTTATATGGATTAGTGATGGAATAATTTTTTTATGTTTATGGAGCAAGCAAAGGAAACCATATTAGTTGAAAAAATTTTAAACGACCCTTAGATAAAAATATATACCTTAACTTTTAATTTCATCAATAGAGTTTCATACGATATTTAGGAAGAACAGAAAAGAACCCAATATTAATTGGAAAACATACGATTGCAATTTTTCATGCAATTTGTGACGCAGTTTAAGCGCATTTATCTACAATAATACCAATCATTCATTTCAAGTACGTCTCGTTTCCTTACTTCGTTGAATGTGTGTATTTAATCACCTAAGCAAGAATTTTTAGGGTACAAATGACATGCTTAAATTTAAAGGAGTAGCTCGAGATGAGAGTTTAAGCTAATTTTATTATTTACTATCCGCCGTCATTGGCGAGATGGCCCACCGTCATGAAGTCACCGTTTTGCGGCTCCACATTGACTTATAGCCATAACTTAAAAACAAAATTTTTGAAAATTGCAATTAGGTAAAGGTATCAATTTTTATCATAAAAGTTTGGTTAAAAATTAAATTTTTTTTTAAACCTAAAGGTATTCTCATCGTTAACCCCAGCAACAACATTGGTGTCTGCTGTTCATCATAGCAGTCGGTACTATGAGCTTCCTTCCTATGGTCTTTCTGTTCATGCATCACATATTCGCCTCATTTCTGCTCTGCACATTTAAAATTTTATTATTACAATATTTTTATTATCGCCTATTGTAACTATTTTGCCCAATGGAAAACAAGGGACGTAAACATAATAAATCTTCAAACTTGGCAACTATCAGGCTTTTGTGCTCAGGACCTGAGTAATTTCTCAGGTTCTTTTCGTAATAAGTGTATAAATCGTGGATTCGTGCTCCCTTTCCGCCTGCAATTTCGTAGTTGGAGCATGTGCGATTTATCCTTTATTTCTTTTTAGAGCTTTTTTTTCAGGAATTTGTAATGTCTGATAAAAGAAGTACTGCTTTTAGCAGAAGATATTATGATTATCATTATTATTTTGAGAATGATATTCTTAATTAACTTCCATTTGTTTCTTTTTTAGCACCAAATTTTTTAGTTGATAGTTTTTCTGTGCTAGTAGAAGTTGTAAGAAATGAAGACACAGCACGTTTCATGATATTCTAGAACTGTATGATTCGATAACTATATAATAACGATATTCTAGAATTTTGTGCTTTATAATATTTAGCCTAACGAAGTCATTATAGTATTTCTTCAGTATTCCGATGGAATTTATACAAAATGGGCTAAAGTCAGTTGTAGCAAAAGTATATTTAACCTACAATGTATTAGCCAAGCTCAAGCAGGCCGGCAGTAATAACACTGGGTAACATTTTTTTATGTTGCATGACATTTTTTTTTAACAAACCATAGAGATTTTTGTATCGCTGATCTTAAATCTGTAATAGGTTTCTCGCTCTGAGCTATGGTTTTTTTTAAAAGACAATTTTGGTCTATTTTTTGTCGAAATTTATCAGTTTAAAAACGCTATATATAACAGAGGGTTGCGTAAATGTTGTGATAAACTTCTAGGGGAGTTAAATCGTATCATCAGGATTAATATTGCATAAGTACTCATGTGCGGAAATGTCGCCATACGCCGTTACAGATACTTCCCTGTTATGAACTGTTTCTTCGTGTCACTCTGAACTGGTCAAAATTGGGAAGTGCGACTAGCCGCATACGACGGCATTCCCCGGGACAGGTTTCTATGCAATTTTAATCCCGATGATGTGCCCTTATTCCTCCAGCAGTTCTTCGTAACATTTACGCGACCCTCTGTTATATATAACGCTTTTCATCTTGTGCATTTCGACAAAAAATAGACTGAAATTGTGATTTAAAAAAAAAATCTCTAGCTTTAGGAGCAAAACTAATTTTCGAATTTTAGTGCAGTTATTTCTCACAACGATGGTACCTGTGAGAGAGGACATTTAGCCACCCACAAAACAGAAATCCTGACTTTTATTTATTGATCAAAACTAATTTTGAAGTATTTGCTCTCTGTTAAGTCAAATCAGAAAGAGTTTCTGAAAAGCTTTTGCATTTTTTGAAAAATATTAAATCCAGTCACGCAGTCTGTTTTAAAACAAAAGATTAATGAACCATTTTGCAGTTTAAAATATTATCTTCGGGCATATAATAATGGAAATATTACACTTGCTCATAAATATTTAAAATTAAGGCGCATGTGCAAGCGAGATTTTAATAAAATTTTAAATAGTTGGTTTGCACTTCACAATAAATGACTCCATTATTTAGGATGGAACACTCAAAAAAGAACCTCAAAAGTATTATTTTATGATGTTTATACCAAATAATTTAATTTGTGTATAGCTATATAAGATATTTGGTTAAAAAAAATTTAAAAAACAAAAAAACAAAGCGCATTTCTTGAAATTTCAAATTATCTTCTACCACTCCCTTACAATTTCTCAACTATAATAGATTACTTTAAGATATTTCCATAATTAATCTCTCCTAGTCGTAAATAAAAATTGAATTAGCAATTTTTGCTTCTCACTGTGAAATCCAGTATTTTGTCCTTCTCTTTTCTGGATTTCAATAATGTATCTATCCATAAAGTCCCGGATGTTGTTTGGATCTAAGGTTCTTTCATGTTCCTCCATTTCTTTTCTGAAATAATAACCAGATATTTTTATTTTTTTAAATACTTAATCTTAAATTATCTTTTCGTTTAAATTATATTAATCGTAAATTAGTTTTTTTTCTTTAATATTTCGCAGAATAAATAAAATTATTTATTGAACTTTGACAACGCGATGCAAAACAAATAACATATAAACAAGTTTTCTAGGATGGACCCTGAAAAACATTATACCTTCTATAACTTTTATGGTTTTCTTTGTTACCTCTATTAAACATTACGACTTTTGAATCCAATTATCGGATTCTTACATAGTAAGAAGCGGTATCAATGATTTCATAAGTAATGTTTTCTGAATATATTTAAAGTCAAGAAATAGTTACAAAAACACGATTTCTCTGAATAAATATAACTTCATTTCGGAGGCTTGGAATGTTTTGTTTTCAAGTCGCTATCTGGAAAATATGGTTTCGTCAGGAGAGCGGTTAGAAATAGCGCCTGCATGTTTGGAAATTTGAGCGACTATTTGCTTGTTTTTTCATGTTTCTTAAATTTACTAATGATCAAAATGTTTTTTGAACAGTAAGTTACAAAAATTATTACTCAATTTAAAGCTACAAAATCCACAACAAATATTGATGACTGATATGAAAGACGCAACATTTCATTTAAATTTTTATTTTATTTAATAACTTTTTATTGACTGAAAATACTAACTCTTTGATGAGGAATTAGTTTTAAAGATTTTAATTGGTAGATCTTATGATTTTATGCCAGGAGACATTTTAAATGGGTTTAACTTAGTAGCGAGCGAAGCTAACAGGGTTTACCAAGCCTTATAAAATTGCATGGCTGTCTTCGGGGGCTGGGGAGCGTAAGTGAACAGGCGGTGGATCCTTAAAAAAGTTTCCTTTACATTCATTATAATCATGTTCTCGAAAACCATAAACCAGAAATAAAAGTAAATGTATTGGCGAAATCAATATTTAAATTCAAATGACAATAATTTCATTAAAATAAATGAAGAGAAAAGAAGCAATTTTTTGGAATTCGAATACCTGCAGAACTCAGTAAGTACCTCAACAGCCCTTCTCAGTTTTTCATTACTTCCAATTTTCAGATGTGTCATTATAGCTCTGGCCCAAGGAAAGAACATTTGCCATCCAACTGCTCCAGCCATACGACCAACATTGGCAATTAGTTTGTTGAGTTCTTTTCGTCTCGGATCGTCGTATTTCATCCGGCGTCCAAAAAGCAGAGAGGCTATGTTATTCGATACACTTGAAGCAAGTATATCAGATATTTTTATCGGTTCACTTCTTTGTTCTTCCATTCTTTCTAAAACTTCAACAACTTCTTCCTACAGTAAAGAATATCTTTTATTTAATTGCTGTGCTTTTAGAGAAAAACAATTTCCTTAAAATTTGCAAGAAAATGCAAATAACTTTTGTACTCGAATTCTATTTTGTCCAGTGTGTGGATTTAGGAAGAAGTCGCTTCTTATAATGGTTTTATTATTTATTATCAATTATAGAAAGATTGGTTCAAAATTGATTAAAATCAAGTTAGCTTTAAGGTGAGCTTTCATTTCGGTATGAACAGAACCTAAAACACGATTTTTCTTTGTTTCTTCCACTGAGGAAAAATAAACTCTCTAAATCTTTTTTGCAATATACTTTCCAATAATTGATTCAAGCAAAAATGGATTGAAGTTTATTTTAAGTTGAGTTTCTAATCAGGCTTTTCAGAAATCTAAATTACGAAGCACGTGTTGTGAGATTACCTTTCTTTCCCTCTAAAACTTGTCTTTGGAAAATGCTGCAAAGAAATTCTATTACCTTCTTTGCAGTGTGCTTATAAATGTCTGATGTTTAACAACAATGAAATGAAGTTTATTTTAAATTAAGATTTCATTCGGAAATTGATGAAATTTAAGTCACGATGGGTAGAGGTGTATTATACCCTGTGCGTTCTGGGGCCAAAGTAAAAAATTCAGGAGGTCATGGGAGTGACACTGTGCTAGACAATATTAAAAGATATCAGTGGCAGGAAGAGAATAACAATTGTGTGTAAGTTACTGTATTTTTTCAAAATGTTTTGTTAAAAATAGAAATTGAATTTCACTTATGGATCAAATTAAGCCAACTAATGTTATGCAGATAACAGGATTAGATTCATTATGTAGACAACAAGAAAACTATCATAAGATTATTTATTTATTGTGAAAAATAGTAAATGCTGGCTTATTAGTTTTATTTTTGATTTCGTAATTTCATCGCTCCGATCTGTTCATAATACGTTGAACTATATGTTAAGTATCATAATTCATTGTGATGTGTGTACATACCGTTGCTTTCTCGTTGCCAAGAGAAAAAGTAGAAATAAGTTGCTAAAGTTTCCTTATTGTAAGACTCTCTTTTTCGGGGAAAATAATTTCCCTTTTTGAGCAAGTTTTCTTCATTACTTTTTCAACCTGCCATTACGCGTACAAAGACGAAATACATCTGAAATGAGTTGATTAACTGAAATGTATTGCAGCACTTGATTCATTTATAAGCCATTGCTGGTAAATCCTCGTTTTATTTACCTTCATTTGTTCAGCATTTGCATAAAACTTCATTCTTGTAAAGGCCATTTTAAAGTAAAACTTTGTAAATCGAGACGAAACTTAAAATTCTTATTTCTCCTTTCAGTCTTAACAAAATACTTAACAGTCTAATGCGTCAAATTTTTGTACATATATATCATCTAAAGTAATTGCCTTTTTGCAGTCTTTTGTATCTTATTTTCTATGAATTGTTTTTAAACTGAATGAGATGATTTGGAGGATCACCAAAATATATTCAGCGGAGCAATAATGGCATGCGGGCCACGCAGGAAGAACCCTAATGTAGAATATCCTTTTTTACCTTTCTTTTCTGAACTAATTAGAGTTATATTTTTGGAGTATGTTTTTAAATTTCTAATGCAAAGCAACAATGAAATTAAGTTTACTTTAAGTTGAGCCTCCAATCGGGTTTTGCCAAAACCTACATCACGAAGAGCATGCAGTGAGAATCTTCTCTGTTCTTTCCATCCTAAATCTAAGAAAGCACCAGTTCCTAAACAGGATTAAAAATATTATAAGTACCTTTTACAATGAAAGGGTTTCGTAAAAATATTTTTAGCTATTCAACAGAAAACAAAACAATGTATAATATTTATTCAAACTATATTGGATAGTAACGTTATTTACTAGGGACCATCTTAGGGAAATTTTCAAAAAATAAGTGATTTATTTTCGTATAATTTGATAGTACACACATGTGATAGAATTTATTCCTTAAAATTTAAGTCAAAATTCTTTGTTAGACCACTTGCTTGTCAGACAGATCTCATGCAAATTATATTTTGTATATCGTATTTTTATATCAATTGTGTTAATCGACTTGCAACCTTTACCCTTTGGTGCAGATGGGACACCGGTGTTCCTTTTATAGATTTTTTGGTGTTTTAATTACACGCAAAAATATATTTTAGTGTTTTTCAATTCAGTCAAAAACAGTCTAATAAATAATTAAGAAATATGTTAGATTATCTGAATTTTATTTGTAATGAAATATAAAATCTAGAAAAAAGCAATTGGAAATATTCTTTTTTCATTCACATTCAAAAACTTATCAATAATTGATTTTGCAAATTAAAAAAAAAATCAATGATTAATTACTATTTTTCTTGAATTCCAATAAGTGCAAATTTGAAAAAAAATTGTTGGGCAGTGAGCCGTGTGAAGAAACTTTTACATTTAACGCAAAGAAAAAAGAACCAGAAAAAGACACCGGTGTATCATGCTGTATTTCATAATCATAAATTATTAAAATGCAAAATATAATAGTTTTCACTTAGTTTGACCAAACTTGATACAAAATCATAAAAAAAGTATGAAAAATATGCTTAATAAAAATTCTGGGTCAAAAGGTTAAGGCGAATTCTTTTCACGAAGCTTAATTTCAGAAACATATGAAGATATCCATTTCCTAAATTTTGCGGAATGGTGCCTTGACCAGGAAACTGTTTCGTCAGAAACGACCATAATCTCGCGTAACTATTTGTAATGAGTGTTGACGCTGGTTGCTTTTCTAATCCAAAATAAGCTGTTGCCCATCTTAATAAGTAATAATGAAATGATGAAACCAATGTTGAATAATTATAGTTCATAATATTTACTTATTGTTTCGTCACTCAATGGGATGGGACCATCAGCTGGTCTACCCATAAAGGCATCTTCAGCAAAGGCATCCTTTATAACTTTAAAGTCACAGAGAACAAGTACATCCACGCTGCCTAGTCGAATTCTGAACAAATAAAAAAAAAATGAATAAATCTTTGGCGAGAATCGGTTGCGTGTTTTGCACTTTTAGTTAAGTCAGTTGCCAAAGATAAAAAAAAGGAGAAATGCGAAATATAAACATAACTTTAATAAAATTTTCCTTCAAAAACCATCCAAGAATTATCGAACGCGTAAAAACTAAAGAATTCGCGATCGCAACGCTCGAGTACGCCGTCTAGCGGGAGCCTGTAAATATCGGACATTAACTTAATACAATCACATTTTCTGCCATCAAAGTCATTGACTGAATCAGACGCCATTTTTTAGCAGCAAATAAGAAACAAAATTTCCCTAAGGAAAAGGCCGAAGAACTTGAAAAAAATCTCCAGAATATTAGTAAATCTTTCAGGAACAGAACACGCCAAACATTTGAAGAAAAATTCCTCAATAATTTTTAATTTCTATTATCAACAAACTTGCAACTGATGACTTCCGATTTCGGATACTGTTACAGATGTGTGTATTAAGGTAAAATGCATTTCTTCTGTCTTCAATTCATTACGAATTAAAGTGAAGTCAACATTGCTTTCGTCATTCCAGTGAATAAATATGAATTCAGAACATACAGAATTGTAATAGTTATAGCATATTCTTCTTCGTTATAGAATAGTATATATTTCTGTATCCATATAATTCGGAAAACAACAATAAAAAATTATCCAAGTTACTTGAAATAGTGCCATTTGTGCTGATTCTTAATTAATTTAAATCGTTTTCTTGGTAAGTTTTTTTTAATTTTGAAAGAATAAGTTCAACTAGAATTCAGCTATTCTGTTTTTAGCTACATATTCAAATTCATATCAATTATAAAATTTTGCTGTGTAGTATGTTATCTAAAAGTAATGAAGGTATAAACTATGTATCTATTATTTGAGAATAAAGTTTTCAAACAAGGAACTTATCATTTTGGAATTCTCCGGGAATCATAAATCAGGTAAGTGCAATGATTTTTACAATAAAAAATTTGCTTGTAAATATTTTTTTTTCATTTGATGATGGTTCTCTACAGAATGGTTTTTTACGTCTGATTAAGAACTATAAGAATAATAAAAAAAGAAACAATATGAAAGTTTTTATTTCAATGTTAAGAATTCTTAAAATCGTTTTTTTTATCCTAAGAATTCTTTATTTTCCGTTTTTTAGTTTATAATTTTTTGATAAAAATTGTTCTCAAAATACTTTTTTTGAAAAATTAAATGGTATAACATTATGTGTTTATGTATACTTCTTGTATATTCCAATGTTTGAAGTAATATGATTCAGAAAAGTATGGAATAAAAATTCGGTACTTACGTATTAACGCCACCGCCGCTACAGATTTGGCGGTTTTTAAGTGCCGCCAATCTACACTTAAAATTTTTGCGACAATTCATAAAATAAAACACTTTATTTAAAATCAAAATAGTCAATCGGATTTCGGTGGAAAATGAGCCGATATAGAGTTTAGCATAGATTCAAAACAATCATATCGCCATATGAACTCTGATAAATAAGATTCCAAATGAAATAACATTTCCAAAACGTACGTTTACCAAGATAAAGTTTTATGTTGTGGGAATTGGTACATTTTCGTTTTTTCGGTAAAATATTTCCCTCCTGAAAAAATAAAATTGCATCTTGTTTTGTTTTTGGCAAATCCCAAAGACGAATTTTCGTAGCACTAAAAATGGCGACAAAAAAGAATTGTTTTTTTTTTTTTGTTTCGTCAGCATTCTTTATTTTACGTTTCTTAGTTTCTAAATAATGATTTTTATTGAAACTTGAAATTTTTTGATAAAAATTGTTGTCAAAAAACTTTGTTTACAAAATTAAATTTCATAAAATTATGAGGCTTATGTATACTTTTTGTTCATTTTAATTTTTGAAGTAATATGATTCTTAAAACTATAGAATGTAAAGTTTAAATGGGCCTTTCATGTTATATCATTAAATTTAGTAATACTATTTCTCGGGCATTAGGTTTTAACTCTTATAAGAATATACATATTTTTTTCTGTTAATGTACAAATATTTTTCCGATGTGTTTTGGATATTCCTTCTCTAATAAAAAGAGATACCATTTTGTTTTCGGTTGTACAAGAAAGAAGATCAAGCATTTTTCTTTTTTAAATTTAATAAGCCACATTAAAGAAGGAACGTTGCAATGCTACACGCTACATTAACGACGTCTCCAGAGTAACTGAATGACGGTTCATATGGAAATCGCAGGTAAGCGTCTCATACAACAACGCCCCCTATAGTTCGTTGCGATCGCGAATAGACGTAAAGCAAATCACAAAGAAAGAAAAGAACAAAGTTATACTATGGTATATCACATTTCATTTCCTGATATTCAGTTCAGTTCATTAAGGAGATAACAAAAATACATTGAGGGTCGCCAGAGCATGAACCTCGGCTACTTGAACCAAATAAGCTGATTACACCACAAATCAAATAGATTATGACGTATTAATAATTTTATGTTTACAAGATTCTATGCTATCTTATTTTCTCATTTCTAATCTATTCTTTCATAAGATCTGGTTTCTTAACTGGATCTGGAAAAGCGCCTTATCTGGGCGTCAGCGTTAAATTGACGTTACCCTGACGCCAACAAAATACTGTTTTGTTAGCTCAGCGTGAGCAGTTGGCCCAACGCAGACATCATCTCGCATTGCGCATGCGTTAATAACGTAAACAAACATTTATTTTCAATTTCAATTGATTTTGTTATTGTCGACCAGTGCTTTAGAGAACAAATAATGACTTTGTCCAAGAAAAAAAACACATTATAGCTTAGATAAATGAAGAAGAAGAGGAAGAAGAGGCTATGTTTAATGTTAAAATCAAAATCTTGGCTGATTTCAATGGACTGTGGGATGTTGTACGCCATTGTTTCTGTCGTTAACGTCACGTTGTAATCTTGATTTGTACTTTGTACGGTAGTTGTCGCTCAAGCTGGGCGTTTTATGTGACGTATGCTGTCAAACACACCAATTGACCAATCAGTGGTTAGAGTTCAATTCAAGCTGACGTTTTGCAATTCCAACCTGTCCTAAGAAACCAGGCCTTCAATATACAGTGGCATAATGCCAAATACCAGAAAAAAGAAAAATTTCCTTGATTTTCCTTGAATAGCCCTGACAAAATATATCATCAATGATAAAGGAACTAGTTTCATTTGTGTTTAATGATCATTAGAATAACAAGGAATTTTTCACGGTTTTTTCCTATAATGCAACTCAAAAGCTAATTTGTTTCTTTTGTTCCTAAACTACAAAATGAACGATTAATTTTTCAATCTCCTTGGAGTGAGCAGGAGTTTGTTTTAAATGAAGCAAAAAGATTTAAAAAAAAATGCATGCGACCAGGACAAAAACTTACGGCTTTTAAAAGTTACCAATCTCAAAAGAATCATCCCAGTCGTTTATTAAATGCTGTACTAATTTATAAAACGCACAGGACCTCTCACAAATCTTTTAGAAATTAACTGGCTGAAAATTTAATATGTTATAGAAGTTCAAAACATTTTGAGCAAAAGTTCTCATTGATACGAAGTCCAAAAATAGATAGTTTCCGAGATAAAGAGCATCAAACATAAGAGGTATAGGCAATGGTTACAGTGTTGAAAGGTGCTTGAAGCGCGCAGCTTTATTGGCTTAGGTGAATGCAAAGAAGTAACTGTTAAAAATTTATCGGAAAAAATAGTTAAATAACAATTTATTTACTGTTATTTTACCATATTCTAACAAAATAGTAAAATAACCACAAATAAGATGGTAATCAAACTGTTAATTGTGAGAAAGTCATTTATTAACTGCTTTCACTTAATACGGTTAAAAAACCAGAGTTTTGTTGCACTAATTAGATCCACCTAATGAAATCACTAAATTCCTTGCTGATGGATAGCACATATTTTAGCCGATAGTGCTAATCTGTCAATTCTATGAAAGACAGAACGGGAGTTCGAGCACTGGCACCACAATAATTCCACCATTCCCTTCAAAATATGAAGAGTTCCCTGAGTCCTGCACTCCCTAACTTTTGACTCTGAGTTATTAGAATACGATAATCTCATAAATCACGCATAGATCAATGCAGCCAAAAAGTTGCTGAGCTATCTATAATGTCCAGTTAAATTTCTTTTTATGGCTTTTTAACCACACTAATTGTAAACGGTCTTAAAAACCGTAAAAGTACAAAATATTCTTTTCCGAAAACTTTATGGTTAATTAGATGAACTGACTACCGCCAGTTATTTTACCATAATTTTAGAATGAAAATTCTAACAGTCTAATGCAAGTTACTCATTTAATGCTGGACATTCTGACGAGCTACTAGCTTTTTTCACTACTTTCAATGCTTACTTAAAAGTTAATTTACTAGCTTTTTTTAAATTTTCACGGTTAATGCTAATGACGTGTGAATTACTATTTATAGTTTGAACCATCGTATTTCGGAAACTATCAATTTTTATACTTCATGTCAATGAGAATGTTTTGAGCTACCGCATATTAAATTTTCAGCCATTTGACAGAGAATTAATTTTCCATAAAATTTCTGCAGGGGAACTTAACTAATTTTCTTCACAAAATTCCGAAATTTATGCACTGCCAATAATAGTTGTACACAAAAAATAAAATTATATCTATAATATTAATAAATATGATTAATTTTTGCTTAAATTTTCTACAATGGAGTTTACCTTTAAGTCAGCTGAGCTGCATTTTATTGAAATTTTAAATTAAACTATGCAATTAATAATTCATAATGGGAATGACAATATCGATTTCTCTTTAAATGTTTTCTCGTTTAACAAAAAAATAGATAATTTTTTAAAGAAAGCAACTTACTTGAAAATTGGACCGTATTTTTTAGCAAGCTGTTGCAACTTGATGTAGGGTTTTTTTGTTAAAAATGGTAAATAGCCAACGATAGGTAATCCAGTGGGTCCAGGCAATGACTTTTTATCAGAATTTCTTTTGATAAGCCATACCAGAGTAATGAAAATAACTAAAGCAGCAAATATTAGAGAAATAATATCCATTTCGCTGTAAAAATTTTTTCAATTCAATAATTTATTGCTTTTATAGGTGCTTTATGGACTATAAGTTATCTTATCACTTGGTTTTTCTTTTTGTTAAAAAAGAACAACAATTTTTGTTTTATCTTATGTTTAAATCAAAAATTTTTATAGAGGAGGTTATATAAAAGAGTTGCTCTGTAGTAAAAGTTGATTGAAGTAAACAAGGAAACCAATATCTTATCAACGTCGAATTGTTCATTGTTTTATTTTTGACAACGTTCGATAAGATGGATTATAATTTTGCAATTTTGTAAAAAATGTATTTTCTAAATTGAATTGGATACTTGGGTGCACCTCGGCTTTAAAAAAACGAGTTTACTAAGTTAAAGGAAGGCAAGTAAATAACGTAGGGAGTGAAATATCTAGAAGTTCACCCTAATTTCTTCAATCATAATCTCAATCAGTCATTAAAAATAATAATAATTTTTTTCTATAATTTTGTACCTTATTTTATCTCTAGTAGATTATTTTTAGCTGAAATAAAAAATGAAATGACATTAATTGTATAAATATATCCTTTCCCAGATTTACGGGGATGAATATAAATCAACCGTAAATTATTCGCCGCTTTTATGCATATTTTTATACTTTTATGCTTACATACATTAGTAGATTATTTATCTCATAGATAAATAACCTTATTCTTTTTAAAAATTTCCGATTTGTAAAGTACGGAGTGAATTTCGCTGTGTGAGAAGAAATAAAATCAATCAAAATTTCTTTATGTAATTTTATTACTCCAACAAATGAACTTTATTTTTAAAAAATTAAATGTGTGAAGACGGTGATTATCAGTCTAATTTTAGTGGTTTGTTTAAGGTAGCATCATTGTAGTATTAAGCATATTTTTGGCCGTGTGAGATACTCTTTAATTTGAATATCAATTAGGGATATTCATCTCAGAGAAATGAATAAAATCATTTTAGGAAACATTAGTGTATTGAGTAAATATTAAGTTGAATATGAGCGCATTCAAAAATATAAAAATAATGAAAGGAAGTCCCTTAAAGGTATCAAAAATGTAATTTTCTTCACATCGAGAATTTCTGTTAAGATAGATATTCAGCAGTTGGGACGGAGAGGCCGAAAAGGGCTCCCCCCAATCCTATCGCCAATAATTAAAAATTGAAAGGGAATTAATTGTTCCCAACAGACAGTTAGGAGGATGGGAAGAGATCCATGATTGGCGATTTATTGAGAGATAATATAGCCAAAAATAAAGCCAACCCCCTATATTCAATATTAAATGCATTTATCGAAAAAAAATTCTTAAAATATTTTTGCGAAATTGAATCGCAAAGAGACTGTGAGAATTAGTATGACCATGTAACTGAAACAATTTTGTGGTAAGAAATAAAGAATTTTTGTTTCTGATTTAGTCGTGACAGTGAATTAATGAGTCTTACATTAGTATTAAAATAAAAAAGTTAATCGTTACATTGATTGTTAAGAAAAGAATAAAATATTTTCTATCCGCTTTTTACAAATTGTAATAAAATTTAAATTGAGTTAATTTAATTAAAATTCGGTTAAGAATGATTAAAAAAATAAGTGTAAGAAATTAAATAAATTTTAAAAGCTGGGAAATATGTAATGCCTATTATGACATCACAAGATGGTACCCCGATGTTTCATAAAAATACAATTTGAACTTTAATATTTTGTGTAGTAAATTTTTTTTTAATGCATATATTATGAAAAGAAAAGATTTAAAAATGGTATCGGAAAAGCAAACATTTCTATGTTTCCGGGATTAAATTAAAACTTTTAAAAATAGAAAAACGTTACATTAAAAGTATTTTAAAGTGCGAAATTTACAAAATAGTTTTTTTTAAAAAAGCTAACATTTCGTTTCAAGGAATAAATAAAGATGTTTTAAAGCAGAGATAAAATTGTGTTAAATGCATTTTGAGGTACATGTTTTTTAAATGGTTTCAGAAAAGCAAAGACCCTTCCCTAGAGCCTTGACATTGGTAATAGCAAGACTTAAAACTAACCATTTCAGAGGGATGAAAATTCTCCTGGACAAGACCAGGACATACGTTCCCTGCAGAAACTGCCTGGAGCTGGCGGCCGCAATAGTCCAGACCTTTGATGTGATTTAAAGATCCATGAACACGAAAACAAAAACAACAACAAAGCAAAGACTTCGTTTCAGGGAATAAATAAATAAATTTTTAAATTGAAGGAACGTTGCCTTAAAATTATTTTCAGATATAAGGTTTCAAAATGGTTTTAGAAAAGCGCACATTTCGTTTGACGTTTCGTTTTAGGGAATAAATAAATACATTTTGAAACTGGAGCATTAAAAATATTTTAAGGTATAAGGTTTTAAGGCGATTTCAGAAAAGCGTTCATTTCGTTTCAAGAAATAAATGAGGATGTTTTGGAACTGAAAAAATTGCATTAAATGTATTTTAAGGTATAAGACTTTAAAATGGTTTTCAGAAAAGCGGACACTTCGTTTCAGGGAATAGTTAAATATATTTTGAAACTGGAACAAGGTAGCATTAAAAGTATTTTAATAAATAAGATATTAAAATTTTTTCAGAAAGCGCACATTTCGTTTCTAGGAATAAATGAAAACATTTGAAACATCGCATTAAATGTATTTTGACGTATGAGATATTAAGGAGTAAGATTTTAAAATGGTTTCCCAAAATCGAACAATTCTATGTTTCAGAAAATAAATAAAGACGTTTTGGAGCTAGAAGAGCGTTGCCTCCGTATTTTGAAAAAATATTACATAATATATCTCATAAAAAACATTTTCATTCAAATTCATGATTTAAACTAACGTGTATTATGAATAAGAATTTTGCATTTCGAAATGAATTTTTCTATCGAATTATTCCAAAAAGAATTAAGATAGCGAGCTGAGTATCTAATAATTGCAGCAGACAAATGAAGCAAATATGAAACTACAAATAATATCTTACTTCTTGCGCATGCAACAACAGTCTAGTATATCAACAATAGATGTTCAACCAGTTGCAGTTGAAAAACACCCGAAATATCTAGGATTTGTATTGGATCCAGAAATCCTAAGTAATAAAAACATCGACCATCTTGTACTAAAGGCAAGGAAGCGTCTTAATATACTTAAGTATATATCGGGAAGAGACTGGGGTGCTGAGGTCTCGACCCTTAGGAGCACCTACATCAATCTTTTAGTGCCTATTCTAGAATATGGATTCCCTATCTACAGTTGTGCTTCCCATACAAATTTTCAAAAACTAGAGAGAATCCTACTCAGCGCTGCGCGGATTATCACTGGCCTCCGAAATTCCTGTCCTGGTGATATTATACTGTTTGAGGCTGACCTGCAACCTTTAAGCCTCCGAAGAAGTTCATGCATGGTAAAATATTACAGCAAACTCTATAGTTTTGGATCACAAAACGGAACTTCGGATTTACTAACGAAGTGGCAACGTAGTCAAAGGCTCAAGCGAAACAGCCCTTTCAGCCAAGTATTTTCGTCCAACATAACTTTTGGAAACGTGGAACAGCACTTCCTCAGGCAGAGCATAGACCCTGCGGAAGGTCCTTCGGAGGTGTCTTTCCACACCGATCTCCCGGTGGCAGTCAACAAGCAAAATGATCACCCTGCAGTTCTTAGACAAGCAGCACTTGAGAGAATCTACACTATCCCAACGGAGGCTGTTCAAATATATACGGATGGAAGCAAGAGCGAAGACAATCACACCGGGAGTGGGATCTTCATCAAAACTCAGATGAGCGAAATCAAGATCCAGAAAAGGAATCCCGACCACTGTTCCGTTTTTAGGAGCGAGCTTATCGCCATCGATGATGGACTTGCCTCAATACTATCTCTTTCAATTCCGAAAGAGATTTGAATCCTTACCGACAGTAGAAGCGCGGTTCAGCACTTGGCTAGCTGGCACAGAGTGAGGGACAATACTAGCACGAACATCCTTTGTAAACTTTTAAACCTCTCCAAATATTGTCGAATTCATGTACAATGGATATCCTCACACGTAGATATATCAGGCAGTGAAATGGCAGATAGTCTTGCCAAGGCAGGTGCAGCTGAGGCCACTGCGCCTCCAGTGTCTCTTACATCCTCAGAGCTTTTCTCCATTGCTAAAGCCAAAAATCAATCAGCATGGCTCACTCCACTCAGTCACAATTGGTACCAGGGTACCAGACCGGGTAGCTGTTTGACAGCTGACAAAGACCGTCAGTCTCAAACCGCCATCACACGTCTCCGCTGTAGACACCTGAAATCACTGAGGTACTCTGGAGGAGAAAAGTGCTTTGCCCTCTGTACCAAGTGCTCTTCGGCCCAGGCATCCCCTGAACATCTACTGGACTGCCTCGGTCTTTTAAAACAAGACCTAATTGAAAGACCCTTACTTGTTTTAGACTTTTTGAAGGTGAACAATCTAATGGACCTTGTCTAGCTAGGCTAGAAATGGGGATTTGAAAGAAGAAGAAGAAGACAATAGATGTTTATTTATATCTGCAGAGGAAAATTAACAATAACGTTTGAAAACTATGAATGAAAACTAGATGGAAAGACAAACAATGAACACGTATTAAGAAGAAGAGAAAGACAATTATTAGAAATCTAAAACAGTCTTTAAACAGCACGAAGCAACACAAGTAAACATTAAATACTTTGCAAAAAATTTCGGATCAAATTATGGTAAAAAGTATTGACACTCAGGGTGTCAGTACTTTTTTACCAGAACATGTTACGGAACACAAAAAATCTTATATACCGCAATTTTTAAGTAATAATTACCTGAAAATCACTGAAACATTTTAATTAAATGAAAATTGCTGTAAAACTTGTGGTAAAATATTTTATGGAAAAAATTAAATTTTATAGTAAAAATGGGTTTTACAGTAAAATGGATTCTATGGATGATGCACCAAAAGTGCCGGAGTACTATATCATAATTTAATCCGGAATTTTTGCAGTATAATATAGGATAATAAATAAAGTTACACTTGAAAAAATAAATAAAGAAAGAAACTTTTGATCTATTAATTGAATAATTGATGCACTGAGAAAAAAAGTGAGCTCAAAAGTACCAGAATATGGTCAAATTTAATATGTTTCT